GACCTCACTCTCACTACGGAGTCCATTCCTTCATTGGATTAGAGCCTACTTCTTTGGGATTCTGGCACATACCAAAGATCAGCTGAGATGCCCACCCTCATGGTCTGAGCAACCACTGGATTCTTGGACCTTCTGTTGGTATACAGCCATTGTTTGACTAGCTGGACCATAGCCTGTAAGCCATTCTAACAAACCCCATAAATACACACACACACACACACACACACACACACATAATCATTCTATAAATTCTGTTCCCCTAGAGAACTCTGACTAATACAATATATTTTCACATTTTTTCTCTCACTTTAGATTATTTATGTTCTATTTTTTAAAGCATATTTCCTTGTTCTGGAGAGGTGACTCAGCAGTTAAGAATATTGGCTGCTCATTCGGAGGTCCTGGGTTCAATTCGCATTACCCATGTGACGTTCACAAATGTCTGGATTCCCAGTCCCAGGAGATCTGATACCCTCTTCTGCATCTACAGCCACTAGGCACTCATATGGTGCCGGATATACCTTAGGCAAATCATCTATGTGTATAAACAATTTTTAAATTTTTTAATTTTTTAATTTTTTAAATTTTTAAATTGTGTATAAACAATTTTATGGGAATATATCCCATAATAATTTCTTAGCACTCCCTTGCTACTCTAATGCACTTGGTCTGTAACTATGAAGACGGAAACACTTCTCCATTGTCTTTGATCTCAATCTCTACCATCGCCTTTTCCTTACATTCCACAATCAGTTTTCTAAGGCATTTGATCAATTTTATTTCCATCTTTAAAACACATCTTTAAACAGCTTTTCCTTTTAGGTACTTGCAGTAAATGTTTCTTGTAATTAATTCATTAAAAATTTAAATAGTATATTATGATCATTTTATTTTTCTTTACCCAACTCCTCCCAGATCGTTCTTACTTCCCTAACAGCCCAATTTTGATTTGATTTTTTTTCTTTTTTTTCCTTATTTATTTATTTAAAGAATTTCCACTTCCTCCCCTCCTCCCAATACACTCCCGCTCCCCCACTCCCTCTCCTCCTCCCTCACCATTCCCAAGAGCAGTCAGAGTTTCCTGCCCTGTGGGAAATCCAAGTTCCTCCCCCCTCCCTCCAGGTCCAGGAAGGTGAGGATCCCAATAAGCCAGTCCATGCAGACGAAACAAGACCCAGTGCCATTGTCAATGGCTTCTCAGTCAGCCCCCATGTCAGCCACATTCAGAGAATCCGGTTTGATCACATGCTCGTTTAGTCCCAGTCCAGCTGGCCTTGGTGAGCTCTCATTAGATCAGTCCCCTTGTATCAGTGGGTGAACGCACCCTTCGCGGTCCTGACTTCCTTTTTCACGTTCTCCTTCCTTCTGCTCTTCATTTGGACCTTGGGGGCTCAGTCCAGTGCTCCAATGTGGGTCTTCGTCTCTATCTCCATCCATCGTCGGATGAAGGTTCCCTCTGGTTCTGCTTTCCTTGCTCATGATCTCCCTCCCTCTGCTTCTCATTTGGACCTAGGGAGTTAAGTCCAGTGTTCCAATATGTGTCTCTGTCTCTATCTCCATCCTTCGCCATATGAAGGTTCTGTGGTGACATGCAAAATATTCAACAGTATGGTTATGGGCCAAGGCCAGTTCAGGCACCCTCTCCTCTGCTGCCCAGGGAGCAATCTGGGGACCTCTCCTTGGGCCTGGGAACCCCTCCAGAATGGTGGGTGGCATAAACTTAATACTGTATGCTTAGGAATATTATTATAATGCTCTCATATGTTCATGACCTCAAGGCTGGAACAAAAAAGTATGTATAATTAATTTCACTATATAATCATTTTTTTCTCAAAATAGTCACTTTCATTAGATAATTTGCTATTTTGACCTGTGAATACCCTCTAGCCCCCAGGAAATACTGAGTGCTTTGAAAGGGTCTATCACTTACGAAGGCTGGATCCAAATGTAACTAAAATCTAGCTATCATCCATCATGGTCACTCACGGCTCATCGTTGAGCAGCTTCTCAGAAATGGTGTTCTTTCTTTACCAGAGAGTCTCATCCTCTCACAGAGATGTATTCTTGGCCCCTTTAAATGGATTTTAAGATAAATTATTTATTTTTATTTGGTTTGGTAACACTATGTTCATTCACTGTCGTGTCAGTGTATTGCCTTATTGAGAAATCAATCTGCCTTTTCTAAACAAGAATGAAAGCATCTTCACAAAATGCCTATCCATTTGCTTGCCAACACACAAAGACATAGCCCTTGTTACTGAAGTAGCGCATCCCTCTGGCAAAGGTAGATGCACAGTAGCTTGTAAGCGCTTTCTCACGGCTATGCATGCATTTCACGTTCACGACTGTTGCACTCGCATAAGTTTGAATGGAAAGAATTCTCCTTCGGTGACCTGAAGTGTGTGACACACTTTGAAACTCAACAGTCTAATGAGACTCGAAATGTGATTAACCACTTGCATGAAATAGAACAGTACCTACAGTCTGATAGGGTATCAATCATTATGATTTATTGCATACATTAGACTAAAGCTGAGTTCAGGGCATGACATAACCTAGCTAGGGTCAGGCAGGAGTAGATTCATTGTCAGGACCCTGTTCTCTTTCTATGGACTAATGCAGCGAGTACTATCTGAGCAGGTACTGTGGACCCGGGGGTTAGGAGCCTCTCTCTCCACTGTTACAGGACATGGACTATAGAGTTCCTTTTCTTCTTTAACATTTCTACAATTTGCCAGTCTACATTGAAATCCATCTGAATTCAAGCTCTTCAGAGGCAAAGTGTCCTTTCCTGGGTTCCTTCCCCTCCACTCCCTGTCTTTTGGTTCAACACGTCCATTATATTTCTCAAAGGCACAGTGGAAATGTACCCCTCAAGTGGAGATGCCTCGACTCATAACCACCAAGTTATTCAAATGCGACCATGGAGAATGTGTATGTTTGAAGCTCTGTTGAGATGAGGCACACCTTGGGGAAATGGTCTGTGATATGGAACACCTCCTAATTGTATTTGACAGGGAGTCACATACATCATCTTTCTGATTTAGTCAACCTTTGTTTGTTTCTAAAACGAGTAAATTGGAAACGGAGAAGTGCTTAAATACTCCACATCTAAAATCTATAAAATAAAAGCACGTTTTAAAATAATGAGTTTATAGAGTCAAGAATGTAGCTCATGATAAAGCATATATGTATGCAGCATATTTCAGGCCCTGGGTTGGTCCCAAGCAGTGTGAAAATCAATTTAAGTGAATATAAGTAAAGTATAGGCTGGATAAATTAAAGACGAGGCTTTCTAATAAAGTTAACAATGAAGATAGCAGTATATTAAAATATATGTCATAGAGACAAAAGCAGGCTAAAATGTACTTCTTGATAGGAACATAGACTTATTATTAGATCATTTAAACTTCATTTTGTAGTTGATTTTATTTAGAAATACACACTTATTTAATACACTAAAGCAACTTGTTCTCCTGAAAATTAATTTCAGTCTAAGTAATTTCTCATATCGATTGCCAAATTGATTTTCTAAATCTTGAAATAGTAACTCAGATTGAACTGGAATTTCACAATAAGTAGAATGTAGAGTTAATTTCTCTGCAATAATTTTGACATACCTATGTTTGATTATATATATTTTAAAGGAAAACAATTGCTTCCTATTCAGCCTTTGGTTAACTGCCCAGAAATATAACAAAGATATATAAAATAGAAATATTTTAAAAATTTAAATCTTATGTTGTAAGTGTAACTGTTCCCTGAAATACTGGGTATTTACTTAATACCTGAATATTATTTAAATTGAGTCTTTTTGCATGATCAATAAGCACAGTTTGATTAATGAAACAAGACCATTTTGAATTGTATTTAAAGCACCTTAGGTTTCTAAGAAATTGTTCCCAAGAAGAACTTTAAGCTTCGCAGAGCTGACAGTTGGATAGAGCCTATGGTCCATAGAGGAAAACTAGTCTTAGTATGCTCTTGATTACCAGCTGGGGTGTTTATATCAATCTGGAACATTAGTACACAGTGGGAAAAGAATGTCTTCAAGGATTCATAGTTTCCCATCTCATTAACAACCTAAAATCCCTCTTGATGGCCAGATTCTGAAATAACTGACAGCATTCTGAAGCTCCCAAAGATTTTGCCATTTTCCTTGACTTGCAGTCTGCAAGAAACTTCCAGATTTGATAAGTTGTGTATAGCTTTTTCGAAAAGACGTTTTAATAGCACTAAGTTACAACCATGTCATAACCTAGCTCAGGCCTCTATAGGTTTGTAAATATCCATTAGAATTTTCCTTCATGGATGAACTGGTCTTTTTGTTGCAATCTAAATACTATCTTCAGCATGTCTTACCCACATGCATTTCATAATGTATTTGAGAGTAGTCTGTAGCACCAATTCTAATTATTCATAATGAAAACCCGGAGTCAGATATTAGGGGGTGAGATCTGAGAGATCAGAGAAGCAGTGAAGCTAGCCACTAGAAAGACCTTTCACCTCTACCAATGCTCAGACCAAAGGGGCAATCCTGTCCTCAGACTGCATCCTCTGACTGCGTCCTCTGCAACCTCAAACTGCAGACTGCAACTCAGACTGCATCTGACTCCATCAAACCTCAGACTGCACTGAGCTCTTGTCTCTTCCTGCTTACATTCCTCTCTTTGCCCAGACATATCCCTTCCTGTCTCCACCTCCCTTGTGCTGGGATTAAAGGCCAGTATCTCCTAAACATTGGGATTAAAGGTGGCCTCTAGTGGCTTAGTTCTGCACTCTAATCTTCAGGCAAGCTTTATTCATTAAAACACAAGCAAAATATCACTACAGTAGTCAATGTATATTTCTATTTTAAATAATTGTTTAAACTAATTGTTTCTATTGTCATGATCATTGCAAAGTGACACACTTAAAATGAGGGATTTAAGGTATAATGCTAAATATGTGTACGTCTACAGTGACATTAATTAGTTGATCTTTTCTCTTTTTTCTTTAAGTTATCTGGCAGTATTTTGGATGTATACACTGATGAGCAGGGAATTTCTCCAGTTAACGCAAATCTAATGAATGCTCCCTGTCCAAGTATCCTGCCCATGAAAAAAGAAATTGCAGGTAATGCTGATTTTTAAAAAGTTTAGCCTTGTAAAATTTTTATCAGTTGCATATATGTGAATAACATAGTGTCACGTTGAATAGTTTCTTAAAGTATGATCAAAACAGTTAAAAGGGTGATGTAAGTGTTGAGAGTAGATCCATCATTTCTTAATATCACTAAACAATAGGTCGATATCTTTCACATTTTAGTTGAATGGATTCAGTATGTTAGGAGCGGCTCATATGCTTCTTTCAAACATTAACAATCTGATTCCATCTTCTTGGCCCAGGAATCCAGGAGAAGTTTAGCCAATTGTTGTGACTTAGAGTCTCTTACGAGTCACTCTGGGAACCATGCAGAGTATAGTCTGTGACATGTGACTGAACTAGACAATACATTCCCAAAGCTGGTACTAGCCCAGGGTGTGAAAGTGCTGTAAATTGGCAAGTAGTCTTGCTTATTAATTGTGTGCACCTCTCCAGAAGGTCCTATAGAGAGCGCAATAGAAGCTTTCAGAGCCACCAAGGCCATTTCCTTAGCATTCTGTTGGTATCATAATCCCAACTGATGCTGTTAATGGTGAAGGAACTACCCATGTTATGATGACTATGGAGTCAGAATTATTTTGGACACTTTTCAGAGTTGATGGCCAGCCAGTCCAGCCTGTAGCAAACTGTGTTATTTCCTGAGTGCTAGGATGGTTTTGGCATGCACATCTAAGATATATAACTAGTTCCAATTCCTTTGATGGAGCAATCATAAATATTTTGGACAACACAAGGTTAATTTACAAATCTCAAAATTATGAGGATAACAGTAGACATTAATGAGTTTAGTATTTCCATGCTATATGTCTGTTAAATCCTTTCTTTGTTTATTGGGAAGCTGTTGTATTATATCCATTTACCAGGTGAGGTGCTGAGACCACAAGTCTGATAATTGACCACATGACTATAAAACGAAAAGCTATAAAAACAGATAAGGTTTTTGCTTCTCCAGTTCTTAAAGACTTTGCTATTTTCTTTTACTGAAGCATCTCCTGCCCTGAATTTCTTCATATGGCATCAAGCATATCATTGCAGCAGTCTAGAACAAGCAATCGTCTTTTCCTTCCCCGTGTTTCTGAACATTGCAGGGAAAGGCTTCAGAGCAGAACTGAACTCTGTTTCAACTGTTTCTTTTGTTCAGAAACTGACACCAGAGCTTTGGCGAAAGAGAGGCAGAAAAAGGACAACCACAACCTCAGTGAGTATGTTTTCCTTTTTCTTCAGAAAAAATTAATGCAGAGTAAGGTAGCCTTTTGCTGTCGTACCATTGCTGCTTGAAATTGGATTATTGAAATTAATTATCCATGCTTAGCAACTTGAGCCAATTTTAGACATGCAAACCTTGAGAACTTTTGGAAAAGTTTGGCATTTTCATGAAACGAGGCAAGCTGAATAGTCTCTTTACCCTCCCTTCTTGGGCAGGGCCTGCTTGACTGAGATGAGTGCATTTTGTTACATTTGAGCAGTGTTATAACTCACCAGCTCATAGATTTGAAGAAGCAACTGGCTATAAAGTGTACTTCATGCTGTCAGAAACAAGTCCACATCCTCATTTTTCAGTATCGACTTGTTCCTCCCTTTTCAATGATACATTAACTGAAAGGCGTGGCTTATCTCGTAATGTTGAGTTCTTCGTGCCTTCTTTAGGTCATTTTGACTCAGATAACCAGTCATAGGACCTGGAGAAATGCAGCTGAGTGAGGGAGATTATCAGCAAGGCTGGGGTTTACAGTGCTCAGTCTTGTCTTAAGAGTTTCAGTATTCCAAGTGACTTCCACTAATTGAATGTGAAGCAGCTTTGTTCTGAGACACAAGTCTCAACAGAGAAAGAGTAGCAACGGAAATGAAAGAGTAAAGCCGCAAGTCAAACCAGCAATTTTCTTATGTGCAATGGACTGAAATCCATTCTGTATGGGCATGTGAAACCCTTGCCAGTTCTTATTGCAACTGCCACAACAGACTGGTAACAGTTAACTGACGGTGAGCAGAGCTGGCCCTTGCTCCAACTCTTCTGAGCCACCATTGGGTTCCTTTAGTCCTCAAGGGCATTGCAAACAACTTTGATTTAGAATGTGAGGAAAGGGGGAGCATGAGTGGGCAGAGCTGATGATTGGTTCTATTCATATTCTGAAGAGCCTTAGGTCCCATGGAGTTACTGTCCTTATCTCTCCTTCGGTTCTCTATGTAGGCAGTCCTGTTTTGTTTTTTTTTTTTTAAATAGGTCTTTAATGGATAGTATTGTTGGTGTCTGCTATGTGTCTTATCAAAGTGTTATGTAACTGGATTCTCATGCTAAGTCTTTTCATTTTGTGGTAAATCAATGTTAAAAATTTAGTGCTGTGTATTTTATATATGACAAATATAAAACAGTTAAAGCTACAGAACATGAGAAGTCATTGCAAAATTACAAAGGAGGTTGCCTTTATCAGCTGCCTAAACATGTAAAAGTTAAAAATCAAATTTGAAAACGTTAAATCTTTATTAAAACCTGGAAAGCCAAGGGTGGATTGCAATTCTCAGGATCTCTGGGTTTGGCCTGGGAATGTTGACGCAAGCCTTTAACATGCAACATAGTTCTTGTGTCTTTCTATTTTATGCTGTCAGTAGCTTTGAACCTGAGTTACCACTCCGCTCCAAACATATGCAACCCTTTGACTACACACAGTTAAAGGTGGGACCTCATTCCTTCAGGAGAGGAGAGTTCAGGTCATAACTTGTCCTGGGCATTGGAAATAAGCCTTGGAGTGAAAGAGGAAACTTCTTGTGAAAGTTAGTGAGAGTGCCATTCAACAGGATTTTCTTGGCCTTGGTCTTCCTTGGTGTCTGTGTGGCCAGAAAATGCAAAAACAGTCTACCGAATGCCAGTTGAATGCAGTGGATTTAGGGACTAGACTGACAGAATATGCCAAAATCATAATGAATAGTGAAATTTTGCAATTTACAAATAACGTGTTAAATAGAATCTAGGAAGAATAAAGTAGTTTTTGAAAGTGTGCACAATGTGGAGTTAGGAGAAATACTTTGGACAAACTTAAAACTAATGTATTTTGAGATAGAATCATGAACTTGCTTCATTGCTGTTGCATGTTTCATTGGTGATATAGAGATAAAGTATGTGAACACAGAATTGTCATAAAATTCTCTCTGAAAAGCATACATGCCTTTCTCTCAATTTTACTTTTGTTTCTTTATGTAGAAATATTTAGCTGCCCTGTAAGTCATGTGCACAGAAGCAGAATGGTTAGTGAAGAGGCAAGCAAGCTCAGTGATTATGTGTACTCTGATTTGAATGTGCTGTCCCCGAAGATGAAGCTCACTAATGGTCACTGGCTTTGCAGAGAAGAATGTGTGAAGGCAAATGGTCTATGTTAGTCACTTTCTTCTTCTTCTGCAGCAGATCTTAGTTCTCCAGAAGGCACTATTTAGGTATTTTACAATGTTTTTGAAGTATACTTTTCTTTTTTATGGCCTTTTTTTTTGCACAAATTTCCCTGAATACTTTATCCGTATAATCTACTGCAAAAATTTCATATAGGGAAGTACAGGAAACTCATTGTATCGCCAACAGTGAATTGTTTCTATAAACACAAAATTGTTATAAATAATGAATTTATAGAAAAATAAGCAGCAGGAAATTTAGAAGGGCTTCTATCTACATTTCTCGAATGGCTAACATTGCACATGTAGTAACAGCCTCATCTAATAACATTTCAGAAGTGCATATACTGAGTCTACATAAATCAGAATTTCCTGGTGAGGTAAAAACCTGTTCGACAATCTTACCAGATTTGTCTGATTCAAGCAAGAGTCTGAAAAACCTTATAATTAAGGAAAGAGTACCGGTGAGGTGGCTCAGTGGACGAAGGCACTGCTGCCAAGTCTGACAGCCTGAGTTTGATTCCCATGATCCACACAGTGCAAGGAGAGTTCCTGTCACTACAAGATGTCCTCTGACCTCTACACACACACACACACACACACACACACACACACACA